CTAAAGGGATAGTTGTCCCAGGTGCAACCGCTACTCCGTAATGCGCCGCTTGCTCTTGCTCAACGATTTCAGCTGTAACTGACTTTGAGCTTGGTTAGGCGGAAGGCTTTCTTTTCGTGTCCCATTTATGAGTTGCCCATAGACAGACTTGTGTCTGCCGACAGTTAGATTTCCAAGAAAAGCTCGGGTACCGTGCTCGATGTCAGAGAGCAACCCAATTTAGACTGATCGTGCAAGGGCAGGAGGTTAGCACATCGAACATGCTAGCATCGGAGGACGTGTTCTGCCACCGTGAACAGTTACTACTAGAGTAGTGACAAGTCACCAAAAATCTCGAATCGAATTTTGGACAGGTCATCTGAGCCCTCCATCCATCCTAGATGAGCAATTTGGCACCAGACATGTCTGGGGGGATAAAAATACTGAGTGTATCAGTTGAGTAGGTTATTGGATAGGCCATGCCGCTTCAAATTCATTGCCTCTTCAATTTCGAATGAAATAGGGTGCGTGGCGCCTTTCTAAGAGATTGACCAATGCCAAAAACTTTACCTTTCGGCCTCCTACACTACCTGACCTCTCAAAATTTTCCACACAGACGTAGGTGTTGTTCCATAACGCTCACCACGATTTCTATCATCACTGCGAGTAAAACTGGCCGACCATTTTGACGTCGCATACTTCTCTAACCTTTCCTTCCATCTGTTATACCACCCTCGTAAGTCGTTGTGCTGTATGCTACTGCATTGTACTGTATTGACTTTACAAGGTGGCCAAAAACCGTTTTGCCAATGTCACACATCAGCGATTTTTTCGTCACACAGGGAGCCGTGTTGATGAAAGTTTTATGGCGAAATATTTTTAGTTGTTTTCCAACAGAAGCAAGCCCTCCTTCACTGCCCTCACCGTCTTCAGAATATGACGTCATCTGCCATCACCGTCGAGCTCAACGAGGCCTACCGTAATCGCTGGAAGCTACTACATAATTTCTTTGATCGGTTATCTGGTGGATAGTTTCTTCCCAGGAAGGTCTTACAGGTGATTAATTATTCCTAAACGGCCCTCCTAATACCAAAAAGGGGTTCCCTGGTTCGATTCCCCGTGGTGACGAAATTTGCATTCCGAGTTGATGTGGTTACTGACACCACGAGGAATCGAACCAGGGACCCCTTTTTTGGTATTCAGAGGGCCGTTCAGGAAAAATTGAACCATGGTTCTGTGGTTCCCGCATGTGCCCCTATATCATGCAAAAGACCGTTTTCAAAAAGCTTGGCACGCCCTGAAAGACCTTCCTGGTTAGAGGCATTAGAGGCATTATTTTTCAATAATGTGCAAGTCTCAACCGACCTTCTCCGAGAATATCATAATGACCCAGGATCCGCCGAGTACTCCTCGTGCTCCATATTTCCGTGCCAGATTCCTTTTACTGTGTTGGCGTAGACGGTTATTATGTTTTCCTTATGCGGTCGAACGCGGTGCTCAATCTTCTTTAGTTTGAATTCAGCGAAAAGTGATAAATTCCGTTTCAAATGTGGTGAACAAATGATTATTTTGTTGACTTTCCTCTGCATTTTATTATCTGTCTTATTTAGACTGCAGCTTAAGGTTTTGCTTTCTAGTTATGCCTTTTGTGAATGAACTTCATTCATTCTATAACAAAGTTAATAAAGCCCGTAACTTTGTTTTAGTAATGAGCGAAGTTATCGAGGGAAGCTACTGCTAGCTCTGTATTGTTGCGAGCCATGTTACGTAACCCGCGGGAGAGATAAAGGCGATCATCGAAAAAAACCCCGCCCAACCGGTAGGTTTATTGCGTTTTGGATATTCGTCATCGTTTCTGTCATAAAAATTCTTGTCATACTTGTGTTAACTGTTGCATGATGGGGCACTTAACAACTTGATTTCCCTTGAAGAAGATTTCGCCTGAAATTGTTTGAGAATTTTCTTCAAATGACAATTCCTTTCATACTCTTTAATATTTACTGCCCCCAGCTATTCAGTGAAGTATTATTCAGAAGTCACAGAGAGTCCTGAAAATCTGAACGTTTTTCAAAGAATGAATTGTTCAGCTCAGTGATGAAAATGTGAATAATCTCCGATTTGCATTTACTGTAACTAGAGCCTGCCTTCCTTTAGAAAAAACCGTTGGTCAACGAGAACCAGACCGTCTTTCCAGTGCTGTCCGGTGTTTCGCGGTTTGCGAAGGGCGGCTTCGATTTCGCCGAGACCGCCCTCGAAAAGCGCTGAGTGGACGGGCAGGAAATACTGCCCACGGGCTGTTCCACATTTCTCCGTATCCTTCGCTAAACAGTACTGAAAAGATACTCATTGCAGTTCCCTGCTGTGTCTGTATTTCACGACTGTCCATCTTTATTGATTGAGCAGTACCAGTCTTTATTTGCTTGAAAATGTATAGAAAATGATAATATTCTCTTCGATATTGCTGCTACTGCTTCACGTAGAAAGTGAGTGATTTTCAATTTTACTTGATTATTTTTTATGTAACACAACGTATGAGCATAGCCCTCCCAGCACATTCTATGGGGAGCTACCGGTTTTTCGGATCTGAAAAGAAAACAAGCTCAAGTTGTGTTTCTGGTAACCCAATACTTCGGGATCGTCAAAGCACGTCCAGTATTGACTCAGGAGTCGCAGACCGGCTCTTGCCGTCCGTCACTCCGGTCCATGTACTCCTGAATGCTTGATTTTAGGGTCGTATGAAGATTCCGATGTTCGGCCGCCTTTCCTGACCGTTAAAGACTTTCTGCGGCAATCGGAAGGTACTATTTGTTTCAGTTGTTCCTTTACATAGCATTGCACTCTATGAACGAAAACTGTTGTTCACTTTTTGTTGAAGCCCAAAAGAAGGCAAAGAAGGCGAAACTCTGCGATATTTTGATGCCATTGAAATGTGATATTTGAGGTGCCAAATGGTGGGTCTGTGAAAAAAATCAAAATGACTGAACCCCGGGAAAAGGCACCCTCTCCTCCCCGTAGGAATGGAATTATAACGACTCAACCACGGCGGTTGGCGCCTCAGTACCCGCTGTAGCAACTTGTCTTTCAATCCTAGCGTTTGCACTTATTTCTTATAATGATATGCACTTGTACTGCGCAAAAAAGTAAGACTTCAAGGTGAGGCAGCTTGATATGAAAGACGTATGAGAGAAATCAGCAACACGACCAATGGGAACCAGGAAGGGGATTGGATACGGTATGTCTAGATCTCGAAGCGCTGATTCTTCCTTATAACTTTGCACACAAACAAATAAATAATTTTGTTACCTAATTAAATAAATATAGGGCTCTACTGCCGCGATAAGCGCCACATATCGTCTAGATGGACCCCTCACCTGCTACCCATATTTCTTTTTCATCAACTTTACTGCGAGTTTTGTCTTTAAAATCAAGTTCAGCTAAAGAAATCTCCGAGCGTTATACGTTCCTTGTTCCTTTGTAATTGAGCGAGTTCATCAGTTCATACTCCGTTATCCATAAAGCGCACCCCAGAGTCGACCATCTATTGGGTAACTCTTGACAAGCGGGGCTAGAATGGCTCGTGTCTGTGAACTTTCGTATTTGGTGGAAGGGGTTTTTTCTGGGAGGCTAGGATATCTCCAGGATGCTAGTGTGGTGTTAGGAACGCTTCTAGAGAAATGAAGAAGGTAAGGGGGAGAGAGAGGAGATGGCTGGCTCTTTCGGCTGAGCCCCACATTTTAGACATTTCTTCATTTTCAAAAAAAAACCGTGATCATTCCACAAACATTTATTTATTATTTAATATACCGGAAAGGTGAGCACATAATGGAGGACAGAAATTCGTAAAACTAAACAGTCAAAATACTGATGTCGCCAGGCACGTAAAAGGACTAGGCCAGAGGGTTTAGACTTTCACTATTAATCCGCGCGTAAGGTCATTAAACTATAATAATTTCCCTTCCAAAAATCGTATCCAGAATAACAAAGACGGTTTTGCATGTGTATACGAAGTTATACGAGGAACATGCAAAAATCGTGATTTTGTGGAGGCTTTATTTTATTTGTTGTAAAAAAACCTTCTACCCATATCACAAATTCCGTTTCTCATTTCCAGACGAAGAGGTTTCTGACCGCAGAAGACTTTCGAAATGGTGAACTTTTGGCGAATTCAACTGCGGGCAATTCTACACGATTGTTATCTCGTCAATCTTTTCTTCATGGGGATATCAGAGGAAAAGCAGCCTGGAAATTGGTACAGTCATCTTTCGTTGTGTTCTGAGCTTACTACGTTTTATTACATATTCTGTTTTCTCATATTTTTTTGGGCTTGTTTTGTTTGGGTGCGCACGGGCACTGGTATTCTCGTTGATTGAGTAATCACGGGAAAGTAAAAGAGGATGTGTCGAGAGTTATCTACACACAACGTGTGCCTCGATTGATAATCCCTCACCAGTTTATTCCGGTTTGTTACGCGACTGCTCACAATAGCATTTCGTCAGGAAACCAGTCGCTAGTGGCGTCGAATCGGCTCGTTCTCGGACGGAGCCGAATGAAACGGGAAGTGAAGAGACGCTGGAGAAGTGTTGCAAGCTCCTGCGTGGGGACACCAAGCCAGTCGAGGCAGCACAAGTGATCTGCTTACTCAGCTGCTTTGCCACGATCACATTCCCTCTGTCCAGTGATAACGAGAAGCGCTTGATCAAACAAACCCTCACCAAATTTCCGCATTACACTGGAGGGGATATTTGCCATGACGTCATGCATATCGTCCACGCTGTTTTTGCGGGCGGAGAGGGAAGGGCTATGGAAGCAAGAGGCGAAAAGTGTAGAGGAACGGCAGTCGGAATACAGGGGGGGGCAACAAAAAAGACGTTTTGTCTCCACATCTAGATGCATTTAGTCACATGCTCAATTCAAACCAAATGGTTCCAACTTAGGATTGAAGAGCACATTTCATTTGATAAGAGAATGTTCATTTTGGCCAACTACATGGACGGCATCAGAAAACTTTGCGCTGGACATTGTGACGTGTTCGCTCTCAAACGTGTTCTTCAATCTGATCGTGTGCTCAGAAACGACCTTCACTGAAAGAGTTTGAGGGGCATTGCATAGTGGCTGCTAAGGTCCGGAAACTATCCGGCAGGAAACTATTGAATCGATTCACGAAATTTGAAGCAGTTACGGTAGCCTCCCTGAGCTCGACGACGGTGACAGATGACGTCATATTCTGAAGACGGTGAGGGTAGTGAAGGAGGGCCTGCGTGTACTTATAGAGGGACATTTAGGGAATATTTTGCTGAGGAACTTCCGTCAACGACGGCAATCTCTGCGAAGAAAAAAGGCCGAAGTGCGACATGGGCAAAATGTCTTTTTTTTGCCCCCCCCCCCTCCCCTGTATGGCGTTAAACATCGATACCTTCACTTTCCTCTGTCCCCGTGCAGAACCAGCCTGTTTGTGGTAGCACTGGACTTCACCCGGACAACGAAGCATACATACTGTCTTACGACATGATTTTCTCTTGCATACTTCGATGCGTTATCACTTCCGGATTTTCCCTGGGAAGGGTTGATTAGGTCAAGGGGATATTCTGACTCTTTTTGAGCGTAATGTGAGATTCTCAGGCGCCAACCGTGTTGGTAATTCCGTAAAACTGGACTGTATTACCTCGAAAATGAAATCAGGTATGCGAAGAAGATCGCCAATAGTTTCTTGGAACTTCTGTTTTGAAGCTGGACATATTACGACGAAGCGCCATTGGCCGTCACGACAACACAGTATGCCACACTCACTAGAGGGCAATGTGGACGAAGAAGACGCAAACATTCTGCTGCGTTCACCATTGTTTCGCGAGCACAGTTGCTGCACCCAACAGACTAATTGACATAGCCGTAGCACCTCTATCGCGCACGTAAATGGCACATAATCTATCCTCCATGGAGCCCTGTCCTGTAGATGGAAGTGGCTGATCCACCTAACTTAAAGGCAGTGATTACAAGATTCAAGTAAGGTTTATAGGAGACTCGTAGTGCTCTAGTGGTACGCCAGTAGCGGAAAAAAAGCGGAGAAAAATCCGTCAAGAAAACGCAAAACGGGACCCCTTTTTTGGCCGTTAGTTTTCACTCATGAACAGGTAACAGCTCAGAAAGCGGACGTATGAACGAGTTCAGCGCAACGCGTTTGGTGACAGCATGCCAATCCATGCTACAGTCGAGTTGCTTTAGTTGTGCCGCTGCTGGCAACGCAGCTCGTCCACGTCCAAATCACCAACTAAACCAGTGGGCGGATCGCTTTTGTGGGCGGAGTGCTTTTGAGCTGCTCCGCAACCAGCGAACGTTGCTTCATGAAAGCGCTATACCTCACTTCCCTAGCAGCCAAGTAACTGATTCGTGTGGTATAGTATGGTGATCGCGATCGCTCGCCACTTTATCCTAATCGCTGTCTTTAGACACGTTGACAGACAGGCTGACCGCATCGCGCTCAGCAAAAATTTGCACCTCCAATCGGACATTCTGACGCGCGTCGTCAGAATATATTGTTCATTTTTTATCGTGCATGCGCTCCTTTTTCTCCAGTTTTTCGTATTCATTCTATAGATTAAACATTAACATAACTATAAACCATATGGCCACCAGAGTGGTCAAGTATGCCTTGATTTAGCAAAGATGTTCAAAAACTTACGCAATTTTAGGTTCAATTCTTCCCTGATTTTCCTTCACTTTTGTAAACATTCATGTGGAAGATTGTAGAAGAAGCTAGTACAAAACTCTCTGAGTTTCAAGATATTTGTATTTGATGGAAAACTAAGGGTGAATAAACTTTTTATTTCATTACAGCAAAACGGATGTTTTTTGCTTCTTCATAGTCATTATGCGTCCTTCTGAACTATTCTCCTGCTATTTATATACATGACCTCCACGATTTCATCCTTTGCCGAAAATATATCCCTAGATTATTCAAGTTGTTGTGCATTTTTGAACAAAAAATAAGCGAAGTAAGGTGAAGAGGCGCCGCGCTCGCGAAATCGCTCCTGCCTCACGCGGTGCAAAATGCCAAAACACGCGATGTCGTCACAATTTTTAAATCATGGAATGTGCTTGTACCGCCCTCAATTGAGGCCATTCTGGATCCAGGGATACTTTCAACGGGTAACAGAACTGCAGGGAAAAATATCGACTTCCTTTTCGTGTTGCTCTTTTATCATTAGTACATTCATTATGGATGTATCAACCTTAGGTTTAGAGAGAAATCGTGAAATCTCAGACTTTCAGTTCATGCGATCGATTTTTACCAGGTAAGATTTCGATCTTATCTATTAGAAAACCAGGCGAAAAGGCGCCCGACGCAATGGAGTGATCTCTGGTGTCAAAAAATGGCCAAATGGGCGGATTCCATATGTGATCAGTGGGCAGTATACCGAAAGAGAACGTGCTGTATTAGCTAAGGAGCTTTCAGGTTTATCCTCAACTCAACAAATTACCTGAACATATTATCATGATACAATGAGCTTATGTTGTTCAATCAATTGCAGGAGTATCATAAGCGGACATGCGTGAGATTTGTGGCTCGCACCCCTCTTGACCGAGACTACCTCTACATCGGGAAAATAAATGGTGAGATCAAATAAATGGCAGTTTCTTTATGAAATATCACAGAACACACTTAAGGCATTTACACGCAGTGCCTCTTTTTAACCTCTGCCTGTCCTCATACTGTTTTCATTTTGAGATGAGTAGATGTAAGTTCAACTATGGTAGCTAAAAAGGAATAGTGCAAAGGGCGATAAACACCTTATAGGGCCACAATTTATGTAGGTCATTCCGCAGAACGCAACATATCGTATTTGCCTAACTACGCGCTCCGCGCGCAATCAGCGCCTGTCCCAGCGGCAGCCCGAAAAAGCGCACTGCTATCATTTTTGTAATTGCATTCTATGCTAATTTCTGTTGCATGAAAAGCATTTTCATACTTGCTGTCACACTTGTAAATGAATTATACGTAAGAACTATGCCGTAAATTAACAGTTGAATGAGCAGATGTTTTTCTGATGTTGGACGGGCCGGTGGACGTCAAGAGTTGTCGCTCGACGACGGATGCTTGCAAGTGGGTTTTATTTATTTCACCGATTTAGCCCCTTTTGTTGAGTGATAAATCATTTACCGTTGCACAACCTCTCTCCAAGACACCCCATGTATCTTGTGCCTATTCTCATTACCATTGGGTCAATCTGTTGGAGTATTCAATCTATTCCAACTCGTCCATTGGAACAGGACTCACTTGGGAAGAGAAACATGGTCAGTGGTCTCATCAGCTGACTGAATTACATTGGACTTCCAATCACAATTCCCTAAATTTTGAATGCACGATGCATCCCAATGGTTTTATTTTACTGAGCGTGTTGGAGGAGGCGCACTACCACGAGCCCAATCCGAGAAATAAACTCTAGGGTATAACCGCTCCCGGGTCAACGGGATGTCTATTTCTCCAAAGTCAGTCACTCACTGCCAGACAGAGGATATAATAAGGTGCACATAAATCAGCCTCCAAGCCGCTGTATTACCGCCAAACCGAGTTCTAGTGGCATTACGATTCTAAGTGAAAGTGTAATGCGTGGCGCATCGCAGAAGGGGTTCCATAAACGTAGATGGCCCTATCAATTTTATCCTTTATCTAGAAGGCACGGGTTGAGATCGAGTTGGTGTATTAATTTGTTCGAATGCTTGATAAGAATTGCGATACGGAACGTTTTCCCTGGAAAAACCTAAAAGCGCCATAGAAAACACTGAAATTGCCTTGTGAGGTCGGCCGTGGTATGACGGAGAGACACAGCGCTGCGAGGAGAGGGAAAACGCGAGAGAGCACGTCGTACGCGAGAGGGCGCAGACGCCACGTATGCCGCGATTGATAAGGATGGCAGCACGGCAGCACACAAGGCAAGGCCTTAGCGCCGTTGCCTCGCACTTTTGAGTCGCGACAGTGTCGCGCCTCCTGCGCTTGGGACCCCTCTTTCTCACTTTGAGAGGGACTACTTCTTGGCACCTATTCCTAACCTAGTGGGTTTAAACTGCATGATCGTTTCAGTACGACACAGCAATTCACGAGCTGATGCATTCGGTGGGGTTTTATCACGAACACGAACGATGGGATCGCGATAATCATATCACCATCCTCTGGCAAAACATTGACAAAGGTTTGTAAAAGCTGGATTGAGGCCATTTCTTCGAAAAAGACCTCAATTTAATAATTTTTCAGAGGCGTACGACCAGTTTGGCAAAGTCGATCTCACTGAAAGCTCCTATTACGGGCAGATGTACGACTACTTCTCAATTATGCATTACGATAGTCTAGCATTTTCAAAGAATGGATTCGAAACTATGGTAGCGAAGCGACCAGAGATGACAGCGGTGATCGGATCGGCAATCGACTTCAGTCCGGTATGAGAGATCACATGGGTATTATAGTTCTAAACTTTGCGATGACTACTTCATCGACCTCTTCCTATCCATACGATTCCACGGACGGTGCTTGCCAAATACTACCTTGAACAGCTTAGTCCCAGCCTTCCTTCATCCCTGATTCAGCTTGCCTTATTTTCTGAAAAAAATAAATATATGAGACATCACGGAGATTTTGATCTGATCGCCTTCTAATTATGGTCTGATCGACGAAATAATTAGCTCTCTTCTACACCCATCTAAGTAACAATAGGGCAAATGTCAGACTTTGCGACTGTTGCGGGCTTTAGCGCTTCGCGCGGCTCGCTAGCGATCAGGGTCAAACGTCCATTCTCAACGGCGGGGCACGGGGTAAAAATGGGTCGTGTTTGTAGGAAAGGCTAATTCTGGAGATCGTGGATTTTTCAAATTTCACCGAAAAATAGGGAAGGAATGGGCGAACCTGCCGCATTTGCCTTTCAGCAAATATGTATGTATATACCGCACTTCCGCTCGATGGCAGATTCGAAATTTCGGGCGGGGTTGGAGTGTGTCGCCTGGTGTCAGAACCAAATGCTGTCGATACAGTCACACCGGGTGAAATCGGTTGGGGAGGTGGGTACTCGTATTGCGGGGATCCCTTCAGGGGATGGTGGGTGGCAGTCGTATGGGAGACCACTGAAGGAGTCGTTAAATTCCTGGAAGCGGCCCTGTGTGAGGATTAATGCCGTTTAGCATCTAGGAGAGGCTCAGCGTTCCACCCCGAGGAACCGGATAGTGCCCTTTACGACCTCCTACACTGACACTGACTGAAATGCCAGAGTTGCTCGAATCGCTAACAAATCGCACAGTTGTCACGAATTTCGTTCTGCAGCGCGCTTAGCCACTTCTACTGCATTCTTAACACGCTCTGCCTTTCCAGATTACTTTAGAAAACTTTGTTCTTATTTTGTTTTTGGACTGGGAAATAAGTTCAGTCGAACTTTTATGTCAAGAAAAGGCGAGCGAATATTGCGGGTGGGGGTGTTGTTGTTTCGCAGAAACCAGCTATATGGTAATGGAATAGTCTTGCAGATGCTAGCCAATATAATATTGCCCTTTAATTCCTGTTTTCTGCTCTTCAATCTATTCCAAAATTCCAGGGGATTCCCGATAGGGGGAGGCAGGGTCAACCCTACGTTGTTACGAGTAACAACGGGGGTCGTACCTGGTTGAGTTTGTAGGAGGGGGGGTCGTACTCACTTTAGTTGCTCGAAATCAGGGGTGGGATTGAGGAGAAACTAAGATTTCGTGGGTAGTAGGTTGTGCGAGTAGAGGGCGCGCAAGATAAAAATTTGCCGTTTCAGCCCGGTGTATATACCCCCCCTAGAAAAGGAAACAGTGAGATTATAGGTAGAAATAGGGTAAATTGGTTGAAAATTTAGGGAATTGTGGGAAAATTTTTACTGTTTTCGCCCCCCCCCCGCTCGACGGCATTTTTGGAGGAAAAAGTGGGCGGAGTTTTGAGGGTTGAGTGGTAGTGGAAGTTAATGTTATAGAGAGGAATATGGTGGTTGAGGGTCGAGAAGGGGGTCGTACCAAATCCACCTTGGGGGAGGGGGGTCGTAAAAAATTTTCGAAAAGTAACAACGATAGGGTTGACCCTGGTCGAGGTTCGAAGCGGAAAGGAGGGGGGGGGGTAACCTACAGAACTTATAAAATAAAGGCAGGAGGACCCTCTAAGGGTGCGGACAGACATGCAATTCGCAGCGAAGGATATGATGCAGCGATGTAGCACGGCCGTACTCGCGCCGCTAGCGCCGTTGCCCAGCCACCTCCTCACCGTCTGGCTTCGGTCGCTTAGCGAGAGAATTGAAGCGTTGAGGTTAGCACCGATAAGACAACCTAACGCGTAAATCAATGGGTAGAAGGGATTCCACTTCTCGGGCTCTAGATTGTTGTTCTTGGTCTTTTCTTCATTCCTGTATCACTAATCCCTTTACCTTGATTTCTACTGGCGGTCTTTCCATCGTAGTCTTCGAAGCGATGGATCATAATAAAATGGGTTGGGTTCAGAGTGAGAGTGTGGATGCTGAATAACGATAGCAGGGTAAAAGCAGAGAAGAATGTCAAGAACACGCAATATGGAATTCCTTTACTGCACTTTGACCTTCGACCATGTATGAGCCATCATCCGAGTAAGGAAATGGCTTGCATGTGTGAACCCGATAGCCACCATCCTTCCAACAAAAACCCGTTTTTATTGCCTACTATTGTAAACGAAGTTGTGACCTATTACCACGACTCTCCTACACGCCGTGGTTTTATGAGTAGAAAGATAAGTGTGCATTTTAGACCGATATTCTGAAAATGAATTTGATGTACCAATGTGGACAGGGTGTGAACGTGGAGCCGCAGCCGCTCCCACCACCTCAACCTCCTCCTATTCCACCAATGATCTTCTCTTCTATTCCGGACACAGAAGAAGGTAGAGAATTTGTTGGCCGTATTTTTATAATTACAACCTTTGATGAAAATCTTGGAGGTGAAGCGAAAACAAAAAAAAAACTCAGCAAAAACTATCATTTTTCCATGTGGACCCTTCTCACACGATTATATGTAGTTTAAAGCAATAACATGGACTCAAACTAACTAACTCCAAGCTCAACTCTTTCCCTTGATTCGAAAAAAGGAAAAGGTAAAACTTGATAAAGCTCGAAAAAAGGAAAAAGTAAAACTAGATAAAGCGTAAGTTTAAAATCTTTTGCGCATCGCAAGATGGCAACCTCTTTGGCGGCGGAAACAAAATTTCAAAACATTCCCTTGCTTCTCCAGCGATTGACCAGTCGATGAAGAGATTCTGGTATGGATTAGCCCCGAGATTTTTGCCCAAAGGTGTTTTGCTCATCTCACTTCAGGTGAAGGACTTTGGCTCTTGTGGCATTACAAGGACCCCATTCAGGAGGGGAAGGAAATATGTAGTAGAGCTCCATGTCTATTTTGGCGCCACGTGGCCCCATGCACCACAACTCCACTCCTGACTTTGAGGAATAGAATTCTGTTGGGAAGAATCAAATTGATCTCCTTTGGTCACCAGAAAACGACAACAGTAATACCTCCAAGTTGGCTTCAAGCGAAAGCTTTATCATTTCTGAAGATGAAGAAGTCCCAAAAAATGCTACCAATTTTCTCCTAATCCCGTTCTTAAGTCCACTTCTGTATGAGTGCATAACATGGAATAGCGCAGATGGAGGAAGCAATCGCCTTATACCAAGTGCAAAGAAGACTCACGTTTTTCATGCATGAAGAACTGGTTTCGGTTTATAACTACTGAATACCACTTGCGGAAGTTGGAGGCGTAGCTAGAGAAAGCGAG